CACACAAACAAAAACACACTTACACATACACACACACACTTATACATACACATACACACGCACACTCACACACACACACACACATAAACACACACACACATGTCCACTTAACTTACTAAAAATTCTCCTTCATTATCATTCCTCTCAAGTACTTTTGAGAGTAGCCAGTCATAAATAACGCACCACAGTACATCACCAAATACAACACACCACACGCCACCACACGCCACTACACACCGCAGCACAACACACCTTAACGCACTCACTGCTTACAAATAGTTGAATGGCCGCAGGCCAGATATAAACAATTTCAATTGGTGTGTGGTGGGGCAAGATGTGCTGCTTTGGATTTCTTTTTGGTGGGATACATTGTGGTGTGTTTTGGTGTGTTTTACTGGATGGATAAATTTTTGATGGATAGATATTTTGGAATTCAATTCAATAGAATAGAATAGAATAGAATAGAATAGAATAGAATAGGATAGGATAGGATAGAATAGAATGGAATGGAATGGAATGGAATGGAATGGAATGGAATGGAATGGAATGGAATGGAAATGGAATGGAATGGAATGGAATGGAATGGAATAGAATAGAATAGAATAGAATAGAATAGAATAGAATAGAATAGAATAGAATAGAATAGAATAGAATAGAATAGAATAGAATAGAATAGAATAGAATAGAATAGAATAGAATAGAATAGAATAGAATAGAATAGAATAGAATAGAATAGAATAGAATAGAATAGAATAGAATAGAATAGAATAGAATAGAATAGAATAGAATAGAATAGAATAGAATAGAATAGAATAGAATAGAATAGAATAGAATAGATAGTTAGGTAGATAGTTGATACATAGATAGATAGAATAGAATAGAATAGAATAGAATAGAATAGAATAGAATAGAATAGAATAGAATAGAATAGAATAGAATAGAATAGAATAGAATAGAATAGAATAGAATAGAATAGAATAGAATAGAATAGAATAGAATAGAATAGAATAGAATAGAATAGAATAGAATAGAATAGAATAGAATAGAATAGAATAGAATAGAATAGAATAGAATAGAATAGAATAGAATAGAATAGAATAGAATAGAATAGAATAGAACAGAATAGAATAGAATAGAATAGAATAGAATAGAATAGAATAGAATAGAATAGAATAGAATAGAACAGAATAGAATAGAATAGAATAGATGAATGTTTATTGGCAGATAAAT